GTGCTAAGTACAGCTTATTCGATCCTTGCAAGGAAATGGCTTACATACCCTTGGATGAGGATACCAAGGTTTGGACTTCTCTCCCTTCTGAATCGTTCTTAAAACCAAACATGAATGACCTTCTTTCAAGCTGCAATGCCTGATATGGAAAAACTTAGGTTTAATTCTTAATTGGTTAGTTTTAGCTTTTTCAATCAAAGCATATCACATGGCATAAATTCTTACGGAAGAATCAAGAATGTGATGTTGAGCTGTAAAAAGTGTTCACGTGATCTAGCATATGTACGTTCAAGAAACTTACCTGAATTTTTCCGTCCTGAGAATGGAGTTGAAAGAGGTCATGTTGTGCTATGAATTTGTGCAGTTTTATCTTGTATTGATTGGATAATAAGGCTGCCATGTGGAAATCCAGCATGCTTCTTATCTGAATTTATCTTCATTGCTCTTGACATGCTTGCTGATTGCTATATATAGGTTAAAGGGAAGGCGGCCATTGATGTTGTTTGCAACCCATTGGGGAAATCTGGAGGTGCTCTGATTCAGCAATTTATGATCTTGACCTTCGGGTCCCTCGCAAATTCGACTCCATATCTGGGAGGGGTGCTTCTTGTGATTGTTCTTGCCTGGTTAGCAGCAGCCAGGTCTTTGGACGCCCAGTTCACTGCATTGCGCCAAGAGGAAGAGCTAGAGAAAGAGATGGAAAGAGCGTCAGTTAAGATACCGGTGGTGGCTGAAAATGAATCCGGGAATGGTTCTCTTGGAAGCGGATCGCAGCCCCTGAGCGACTCATCGAGTAGTCCGTCCGAAACACCAACTTCTCGCAACATTTAGATACTTCTCTTCCTGGAAAAGTAATGTGAAGCAGAAAGAACAAGAAGAACTGAGGAGATCAGTTTAGGTTAAACGATTTATTGTAGGTTGATACTCTTGCTTATAGAATAAGTTAGCCTGGTGACTCTTTTGAGCGCTTTAAAATTTTTTTGTCGAATTGATTTACTCATTATTCTCATTGTATCCTGTTTTGTGGAATCACAATGATTCTTGGTCAAAGGAAGAACTTGTATCTATGTTTGCTTTTTCTGCATTTTGGTTTGAATGGCGTGAATATTGTGCAGTAACATTTACCACTTTGGGTGGAATAAGGTAACAGAAAGTCCTCAGAATCTCACTAAATTCACCAAATCAGATGCTCATGTTTACTACTGTGTGCTGCATTGGATGAATTATGTTGTGGTTATCTAATTCAATATTTGATATTTTTCCTTCGGGGGAAATTATTTTCCACTTTTGGTGGAGGATATTACACATCTCACTGAAAAAATTGATATTTCAGTAATCATATTGATTTTTTCGGCCTCTTCAATCTTATCATTTCCTTTGCTCGTTTTGTCTTAGAATCGTCTGCTCAACGGTAGGGGTGGAAAGAAATAAATAAATAAATAACAGTAAGAGCGGAAAGAGGTCAAGTTAGATCAGGTTTTGTCTTTAACAGGCCTGGTGTGTGGCCTGTACAAAAGCCTGGCCTGGTTTGAGCCTGTTAAAAAGGCATGTAGTTTTAAAATTTTTAAAATACATAATTAAAAATATGTTTTTTAACCAGCATATGGTAAAAATATACGTGGACGAATGGAAAAAATATACATATTGAGAAAAAAATTATTTTTTAAGATTGTTTTTATTTAAATTTTAATGTCATAAGTATCATTTTAAATCTTAATTGCAATTAATATTATCAAAAATAAGTTATAGTTACGTGTTAAAATTTCGATTAAGATTAAATATAAATAGAAAATTAAAATTAAGACAAATAAACAGGCTAGACCAAGCTTGACAGGTTTAACAAGCTTCTTCAAAAGTCTAGACCTAGTCTATTAGATTAAACAGGTCTTCAAAAAGGCTGGGCCTATTATAATTTTGGAACAGGCCAGGCTAGAGGCCACTGATAAGCCGCCTGGCCTATTTCCATCTTTACTCAACAGGGATTGCCGAATGATTCTCAATAGAAGGGATTTTGATTTCAGTCAATTGTATACATCTGACAATTTAGTTTAATTTTTTAAAAGCTTTCATTCAAGTAGTTTAACTTTTTCTATATATAATTATAATAAAAAAATTATTTTTACAGAATCAATCAATAAAATATATTTCAATTTTACCGTTATCTTTTAAAATGAAGCATTGAAGTGCAAACTTTATTAGAACATAAAGGGGATAATTAATTTACAAGTCTTTATAATTTTTTGTTAGATTTTTATTTTTTCTTTTTTTCACATTCTCATAGTTTTGCCTAATTTTTAATTAATCTCAAGTGATTGATGAAAAGGGAAAAAAAATTACTGAGATCTTATGAAAATTATATGAAATTCTAAGAACCTGATAAGAAAAAGACTATAGGGATATGATTAAAAACAAGTAAAACTATAAACACATGATAAAAAGATATATAAGGATTTGATTAAAAATCAGTTAAAATAGAGTTCATTTGCTTCAATAAACCTATCAACAGCTGCACCTCTAACTCGCTCTATCCCACTCTTGGTAACAAGGTGCTGCCAGCCTGAAAATTTTAGAGAAATAGAAAGTAGCTTTTTTCTAACATGATTTTTTGTTTAAATTTTTGAATTTGCTTTAATATTACAAAATGACACATTAAATTAAATATTGTATAGGAAATTAATATAGCCTGCTTTGTTAAGACCTCAAAGTTTTAACTGGATGGGCTTAAAAAGCCCTGCATGGTCATACAAATGAGAATCCGGATGGAGCATCACATTAATTATGAGGCCCAGGCTGGTCTTACTGGACATCCCCATGGGCTTATGAGCCTGGGTCAGGTGCTCAGGGACACCAGAAGCAGGAAAACTTAATTGGGCCACGTGGCCCATTAAAACAGCTTCAATCGCTTTTATTTTTTTTGATACAAGCTTCAATCGCTTTCCATCTGAGGGTTGGCAAGAAACCATAATGGGCTGGATAGAATATTTTAATAAATGCGGTGGGCCCATTGTGTCAGGGAAGCAGTCGTCTCCTTCAAAACCAACAAATAATCAGCATGTTCACGAGAGCACGCATGGTGGTCAATTGTCATACATGCAACGCGCTCACTTCCCCATCCCACGTAACATATGGGTTTAGGTTATTTTAAATGATTTTTTACTGTATGAAATAAATATATGAAAAAAATTTTGTCTTATAAAATGCAAAAAAAAATTTTATTTATAAAGTTAGACAGTAACAATTTGAAATTATAAATAGAATTAAACTCACAACCTTAAAAGTTTTATGCTATCAAGACGGAAAAAAGGGCTTTTTTCTGGAGTAGCCAAACAAGTGAATTGATTAGAAATGGTCTCTTTTTTTGGGAATATTTGGATGAAACCTAAATCATGGTTTTAAAAGTGATTTTACAGTATACGAAGTAAATATGTAAAGGAGTTTATCTCGATTTACCAAAAAGTGCTTTTTAAAACACTTTTCTCAAATGCCAAATACTTCCTTTCTTGTTTTTGGCCCCTCACTTATTTTTTCCTTCTTGTTTTCTAAACAAAATCCAAACGAATTTTTACTGCTACCAAACAACAAGAATTCATGATCCCCAAGCTATATGGACGTTGTGTTGTTATTAATATAAGGAGGGAAACAAAAGTAACGGATAGAAAAACAGTAGATTTATCCTATTTGGATGGCTTGGAATGGTATGAACAGAGAGAAGAAATCCAATTTCCTTACGCAATGCTTGAGAGATAAGGAGCGAAGAAAAATGTGTGTTTCAGAGTCAATTCACGTTAAAATGTGTCATAATTAGTTTTGTTGTTCATGGGGGATAATATAAAGCAGCAATTTTGGCCTCTTCATACATAGGAAAGGAATAAACCATCTACGTGGTCCTCTCTCCAAATTATTCCCACCTGCATTCACTTTGCTCATGTGAGAAAAGTTGAGCTATGAAACTTCATGAGAAACACCACACTAGGTCTCCCCCAATTTAAAAAGAATTTTTTGGTAATAATTTAAAAGGCATTTTTACTAGTGGAGTACTTACTTATTACTTATTCATAATGTCTATATATTAATATCTAGAAGATTTAAATCTATACCATTATGAAATAGATATATAGGAGTTACATCTTTACTAATAAAAACTAATGGCTCCCCCATTATTTTGGTACCTAAAATTCAACTAGAGAGTGTGTGTGAGAGAGAGAGGAAAAAAAATAGGTTTGTGTTTTACATGTCCAAAATTCTCTCTCTTGCAAATGATAATCTTGTTGTACAGTGAAACACAACTTTTTTATACTACCTCCTGTCCTTAATATAAGATATTGTTTGACTTTTATTTTGGCCTAAATATAAGACTCCAATCCATTTTATCTCTCATATTTATACATTTTTTTTCTAATGTAGTTCTTCTAACAATAATAGTTTTAACCAATATATTTGATTAATAAAGATATTTTAGGAAAGACAAATCTATTTATTACAAATAATTAACTTAACTTTTTTTTTTAATCTCCTCAAATTAATCAACTAACTCTTATAATTAAGATCAGAGGTAGTATTTGGAGTGCGCATGATTGATCCCACTTGTAATTAATCTCATGCATGTCATTGATGCCAACCTCTCTAATCTAAAATTTTTCTTTCCTTGTTGTCTCCTCTTAAAATTTTGCCTATGATTTTTATTTTTTATTAAATATTTCACCTCAAAATTTTTACTTCATGCAACACTCGGTTTTTAACAAAGAGCTAGATAACTAATTTAAAAAAATTAATTAAGTTAGTTATTTGTAACAAATATGTATTGACTTTCCTAAATTACCTTTATTTAATCATATACATTAGAATTACACTTGATAAAAATACTTTACAATTAATAAGAGTATTTTTTTAGAACACATTATTATAGATTTGAAACATAAAATAAATTGGAGTCTTAAATATATTTATAATAGGAAGAGGTAGTAAAATGCTCTCGCCGACAACCTTATTTACATTCCTTTACATTGCAAAATTTGGCTATATATGTGCAAGACGCACACTAAAACCAAAACAGCAACAATCAGAGAGAGCGACGACTCTGCTCAGCTCAGCCATGTTTACTGAAACGAATAAGACGTCTCAGCCGGAACAGCCCATGCTAGCAAAATCGCCGTCGCATTTCTCGTCGGAATGCTGGTTCGAGGATGCATGCATACTCGACATGGATTACTTCATCAAAACCCTTTCAGGCATTAAAGCGAAAGGCGTGCGTGCGGACCTAATCGGCTCCATCATCATCCACTACGCCTCCAAATGGCTCCCCGAACTCTCCGACGGCGGCAACAACAACGGCGTCTCCGACAAACCCTCCCTCGCTCAACTCCAAGAATCGCCTGAAAGCGCGACGGCTTCGTGGATGAAGAAGCGATTCTTCGTTGAAACGCTTGTCGGAGTTCTGCCTCCGGAGAGGGATTCAATCCCTTGCAATTTCCTGCTTCGTCTTCTGAGAACGGCGAATATGGTCGGCGTGGAGCTGAATTACAAATCGGAGCTGGAGAAGAGGATATCGTGGCAGCTAGATCAGGCGTCGTTGAAGGAGATAATGATACCGTCGTTCAGTCACACGTGTGAGACGCTGTTAGATGTAGAGCTAGTGATAAGATTGGTGAAGAGGTTTTTGGGGCTAGATGTGGACGGAGGTAATAAGAGCGGGGTGGCTCTGATGAAGGTGGCCAAGTTGGTGGATGCGTACCTGGCGGAAACCGCCGTCGATGCGAATCTGAGCTTGTCGGAGTTCGTTGCGCTCGCCGGAGCTCTTCCCCCACATTCCAGAGCTACCGATGATGGCTTGTACAGAGCCATTGACACTTATCTTAAAGTATGTCTTCTTCCTTTAATCTTCGACACAAATAACTCCACCAAGCATTCTTTTTCCCCATTTAACTCTACAATATGATGATTTATTCGTATTAATAATAAACAACTATGGTATACTAATGATTGTTAGGTGATACAAAGAAATCATCCAGAAAAGAGTTATTTCAATTTTGATCATTTACTAGTAATACTTGATGAACATGATGAAGGAGATATAACATGTAAAAGGAAAACAACTGTAGCCAATTAATCAGATTTAAACTTAATTGTTTTTCTAAAGCAGCATATTGAAATATTTTATTTCTCAAATAACTATTTTATTTTTAATGAATGATTAAATTTAATATATTTAATATATTGTAATTTTAATTATTTATCACATTTTCTATACAGAAATTGTTTCTTAAATATTTTTAATAAAATAGTCTTAAATTTTTATAAATTAAGAAAATAAATTTAAGAACATATTTTTTTTTTAATAAATTTAGTAATAACATGTCATGATTTTTAATTACGAGGATTTTATATATTTTCATAAAACAAAAAATATATATATTTAAGAATAATATAGGTAACCTGTGTTGTCACCACCACGAGATTCTCCTCTTCATCAGAAAAGGATTTCTGGAGCGAGTAAGAAAATGGAGTACGAGGCAGAGGCGAGAAACCAAATGGGCATGAATGACCTTTAGGTCAGCGGGTTATCATGTAACGACCTATCATATGTATTCGTTTTTTCTACTTTGGCTTTTTCTTCGTCCGCTTTGATAAAGCTAAAAGGTGGTGGTGGTAGTGTCTTATTCATATGATACCTCAATATAATATTACCTGCATTTCAAGGCACTACTCTCCCAATTTTCATTAGAAAATTCCTAAGAAAAGAAATTTAATTACCAAAAAATCTTAATGATAAGTGACTATTATGAACCTGGATCATTCTTTACTTTAAACTTGTCATTGCTTATTCTTCATTTGTCAATGATTTTTAAAGTAATTAAATCTTTTTCTGGGACCTGATTATAATTCTCCCAATTTTATTTCTCATCCAATCATTTCTTATACATATATTGTAGACCATATAACTATTCACACACACAAATACAAACATATATATATATATATAGCCCTTTTCTTGTACGTATAACTACTCTCCCTTTTGCTGTATACATATGTTTGTGTGTGTGTTTCTAAAAGCTCTGTACAGTTGCTGAAAATCATATATATACCCAAAACTTCTAAGGACTTTGCATTTTGATATAATATGCAAAGACCATTTTTAAGATTTGTATTACGCACATGCAACAAGTATCAAACAAAATACAGAAACTACCGGAGAAAAGGATAACATGTTATCTTGTTCAATTTGCAGAAAAGTGATGCATAGTGGTGGGCGAGTCGAGTTCACGACCCACACACACGCTGCGATATCTACTATATAAAAAGCTTACACATATATTTTTCATGAGAGTGATTTAATTTGTTTGGTGTGATGATATATATACATATATGTATATAGGCACATCCAGGGGTATCGAAGCAAGAAAGGAAAGGTCTGTGCAGGCTGATAGATTGCAGGAAACTAACCCCAGAAGCCTCACTTCACGCAGCTCAGAACGAACGCCTGCCTGTAAGAGCTGTGATCCAAGTCCTTTTCTCTGAGCAAACAAAGCTGCATCAGAATCGTCAGGTGGACTGGAGCGGCTCCTTCGGCGGCACAAGAAGCCCCAACGGCGGTGGTGACTTGCCGGCGCGGTCGTTCTCGAAGCGGGAGATGTACGCGCAGCAGATGGAGATAAGGAAACTGAAGGAAGACGTGTACAGGCTTCAGAGCCAGTGCAGTGTGATGCAAGTGCAGATGGAGAGGATGATGATGGAGAAGAACAAGAAGGGTTTCTTCAAGTGGAAGAAGTTTGGGATAACTGGGTTTGGTAAAAGTGTCAATGTTGTGGCTTCTTCTGTGGACAAGATTCAAGAAGGGATCGTTGAAGGAGAAGATGAGTTTGAAGTTAGACAAACTCCTTTGGACATGAAAACCAGATCATCCGTTAAACCCCGGACTCCTCACAAGTGGAGGAAATCTATGTCTTGAAAGTTGAAACACACAGCCTGGTCTGAGCTAGAGAGAGCTCAAGTTAGTTTGGATTTGTTTTGAGCTTGTCTATATATGCATGTATGTATTGTAATTTTATTTGTTTTGTTTGATGTTAGCTAGACTTGCAGAATTGGTGTCAAGTAAGAAATAAGATCATGAGAAGAATTTTGTTTTGGTCCCAGATGAGTGATTCCTTCTAGTTCTTTTTCGTTGTGAAACATATCGTGCATATAATTAAGAAAAATATTAAAAGACTGTTAATTAATATTGCGGGGGATATCATGATACTTATTCTCATTATGGCCCAGAAAGAAAGTTTGTTTTTGATTATTCTGTTTGTGATTGGCATATCTGGAATGAATTCAATTAAAAATAAAATTGATACCTAGGAATTCAAAATTTGTTATATTATTATCTATTAAGAATTTTCAAAATAATTACATTTTCAAACATATTAAATATAAATTGTTGGCCAAGAAAATCTTATTACATGAGTTTTTTTTTTTACAATTGTTTTAAAAATTTAATCGTTAACATTTTTTATAATATTTTTTTTTTATGAGAATTGGGATTGTAGGAGTAATTTCCACTTACATACCAGAGAAATGTCCCAGGATTAGTTGCTTCTCGTTGACAGGTGGAGATAGGGTGTTTATCAAACCCGCTAACCCAGTATGCCCACCTAAGCCTGTAAAAAAATAGCTCTGCCTAGCACAAAAAAAAAACAGCCTAAAGAAAAATAGGCATTTTTGGGCTGGGCATATTATGGGCTGGGCTGGGCTGCAGGCAAGGTATGCTGCCCTGCTCGTTTGGCCCTGCCTGTGATATATATATCTATAATTCTTTTTTTTTTTGCCAGAAATACTTATAATGATATATAATATATAATAATATATATTATTCTCCCCTCTTCCGTTTGCCCTAGATACATTTAGTGGTATGTGTAATTCTTTCTTCTTAGTATCTTTTTAATGTTTTTCTAATATGGTTTAGTATCTTTTAGTTTGTTTTTATTGTTGATTGTCTTGCAAAGATGCAAAAGCAAACTCACTTTAGTGTTGTATTAAAAGATATATCAATTTAAGACAAATCAAAGTTATTGATTTGTTGAATTTATTGTTTATTCAAGTATTTATTTCTTTATAATTGTTATAAGATACCCTTACTTCAACTAAAAAATTTCTCACCAAAGTATCACTATTTGAGTTTGGAAGCTCGTACTGCCCAGCCGGAAAATGGTTAGGACTTTTATGAAGAGGATAGTTTTACAACCCGTTTATTTTTTTGGACTAGGCATCGGACGGGGGCACGTCCTGCCCAGTTTAGGTGGAGAGTTGACCACTAACAAATCAGATGAGGTGCCCGTTCACAGTTTACACTGTTCCCGTACAATTTCAAAACGTAAACGCCTTTTCCCCCACTTGCTTTTAACCGATAAACCTCACCCAAAAACCTCCGAGACGCAATGCTCTGTATCTCCAATGGCTGCTTTTGCTAAAATCTCCTGCATCCATGCTCACAGAAACCATCTCATTCACCATCCTTCTGGCAATTTCAAGGCCAAGACTTTCACTTCCTCTCATAATCTTCAGACCCACCATCTGTCGATTAGAAAATCCGATGGAATCAGCGTTTCGAATTCAGTCTCCAACAGTACCTCCATCAGTATTCAGAACCCAAGTTCGAATATTTGCCAATTATGCCTACTTGGGAACCTGGAACAAGCTTTGAGTTGCTTAGATTCTATGCATGAACTGCAAATTCCTGTGGAAGAGGATGCTTATATTGCTTTAGTTCGGCTCTGTGAATGGAAGCGGGCGCGAAAAGAAGGTTCTAGGGTTTACGCTTACATTTCAAAGTCGATTTGTAATTTAAGCCTTAAATTGGGAAATGCTCTGTTGAGTATGTTCGTGAAGTTCGGCAATTTGGTGGATGCATGGTATGTGTTTGGGAGAATGACGGAGAGAAATTTATTCTCTTGGAATGTTTTGGTTGGCGGGTATGCCAAAGCTGGGTTCTTCGATGAGGCTTTGAATTTGTACCATAGAATGTTGTGGGATGGTATGAGGCCTGATGTTTACACTTTCCCATGTGTTTTGAGAACTTGCGGTGGGATGCCGGACATAGTTAGGGGTAGAGAGATTCATGTGCATGTTATTAGATTTGGGTTTGAGTCAGACGTAGATGTGGTTAATTCGTTGATAACCATGTACGTAAAATGTGGTGATGTTGATACTGCAAGGTTGGTGTTCGATAAGATGCCTCATAGAGACACAATTTCTTGGAATGCCATGATTTCTGGGTACTTTGAAAATGGAGAATGTTTGGAGGGACTAAGATTATTTTCTATGATGCTTGACAGTTCTGTTGATCCAGATTTGATGACTATGACTAGTGTGATTACTGCTTGCGAACTACTTGGTGATGAGGACTTGGGAAGGGAAATTCATGGGTATGTGATGAGAACGGTGTTTGGGAAAGATGCCTCTGTTTATAATTCATTGATTCAAATGTACTCATCTGTTGGACTTATTGAGGAAGCCGAAAAAGTCTTTTCTCGAACAGAATGTAAAGATGTGGTGGCATGGACTGCAATGATATCAGGTTATGAGACTAGTTTGCTTCCTGAGAAAGCTTTAGATACATATAAAATGATGGAAATGGAAGGTATCATGCCAGATGAAATCACGTTAGCCAGTGCACTATGTGCATGTTCTTGTTTAGGGCAATTGGATATGGGTATGGCCCTTCATGAAGTTTCCAAGCAGACGGGGCTCATATCATATGTTATAGTTGCAAACACACTCATTGATATGTTTTCCAAGTGTAAACAAATTGACAAGGCTTTAGAAGTCTTCCACTCCATGCATGACAAGAATATTATATCCTGGACATCTATCATCCTTGGTCTTCGGATCAACAACCGGAGTTTTGAAGCTTTGTTTTTCTTTAGGGAGATGATGCTTGGGCTAAAGCCAAACTCTGTTACCTTGGTTTCTGTCCTATCTGCATGTTCTAGAATAGGAGCTTTGACTTGTGGAAAAGAGATTCATGCCCATGCATTGAGGACTGGACTAGGTTTTGATGGTTTTCTGCCCAATGCAATTTTAGACATGTATGTAAGGTGTGGAAGAATGGAGTCTGCTTGGAAACAATTTTTCTTAGGTGATCAAGATGTTGCAGCATGGAACATTCTACTGACAGGATATGCTGAACATGGGAAAGGAGTGCTTGCCATTGAACTTTTTCAGAGAATGGTAGAGTCAAACGTCATCCCTGATGAAATTACATTTATATCCCTTTTGTGTGCTTGTAGCAGATCTGGTATGGTGGCAGAAGGATTGGAATATTTTAACAGCATGAAACATAAGTACTTCATTACACCTAACCTGAAACACTATGCATGTGTGGTTGATTTGCTTGGCCGTGCCGGAAAATTGGATGATGCTTATGAATTCATACAGAAAATACCAATGAAACCAGATCCAGCAATTTGGGGAGCATTGTTAAACGCATGCAGGATTCACCATCATTTTGAGCTTGGGGAACTTGCTGCTCATAATATCTTTCAAGATGATACAAAAAGTGTAGGATATTATATTCTTCTGTCCAATCTATATGCTGACAGTGGCAGATGGGACAAAGTTGCAAGGCTAAGAGAAATGATGAGACAAAATGGACTAGTAGTAGATCCTGGATGCAGCTGGGTGGAAGTCAAGGGCAAGGTGCATGCTTTTTTAAGTGGTGATTACTTTCACCCTCAAATGGACGAAATAAATGTAGTTTTGGAGGGATTTTATGAGAAGATGAAGGAAACTGGTTTTGGAGGGCAAGAGAACAGCCCTTCAGACGTACTTGAAGCTTCTAAAGCTGATATATTTTGTGGCCACAGTGAAAGACAAGCCATTGCTTTTGGACTTATTAATACTGCCCCGGGTATGCCCATTTGGGTCACTAAGAATCTGTATATGTGCCAAAGTTGTCATGATACGGTCAAATTTATCTCTAAAGTGGTTCGAAGAGATATTTCTGTTAGGGATGCTGAACAGTTTCACCATTTCAAGGGAGGCATCTGCTCTTGCATGGATGAAGGTTATTGAAGTCAGAGAAATTAGCAGAAAAACTGGAAGATATATATGGCATTGTAATAGAAAAATTATAGTTGTTGGAAACTTCGTGTTACACTGTAAATGATAACGGGGTTGTGATGAGAATGCTGATCAGCCCCATACATAAGTGATGTGAATGTTATATAGAAAATAACAGATTCTCCTATGTCTTGCACATAAATTGTTTGTTGAAGCATATAATTTTTGTTCAACATTACCATCCAGGAAAAATCAAAGTCAAGGAAGCTGTCCCTATGACCTGAAGTAACTTGTAACCTGCATTTTGACAAGAATAGATTCGTGGGGTTTGACTGTGGAAACTTATTTAGAAATGCCTTGCGGTAATATGTCGAGTCAGAGGTGAAGGTATAAGGATGCCATGGTCTTAGATGCTGAAGATTAAAGATGTCCATGCTTGGCATATGCCGACTAAAATTCCTTTGACAAATGCACATATCTTGTACCAGCATGTTACTTGTATAGATATTTGATGAATTGTGATGTTAATTCTTCTATAGAGAGAAATTATGTGCCACTTTACCAGCATGTCATGTTGGTATGCTATTTTAGTACTACTAGGTCTTATTAGTTCTGCTTCTATAACAGCATGTCATGTTTTTGTACAATTGGATCTTATCAGTCGAGAGAATTTTCAAACCACAATTTATAAAACTTCTATTTAAAGGGCAACGAAGTTGGCAATATATATTATATATATGTGTATGGCGATGAAGTAGGAAAGCTGGAAGAAAGGGAAAAAAAACTGTTATCACACATATTTGACACTAGATATTATACACAAATCAAACAATTGAATGGCGATATTTTACACAATTATTCTCGTTTTTTTTAAAAAAAAAAATTTCTTACAACACAATAGGTTATTCAACTAGCATCACTCCCCAGTTTTAGAAGATTAAAAAGGTAAAACCCAATTGATAGAAATCAAATTTTCACTGCTTTCTTGATTGTCTTGAAGGAAGACCTGATAAAGCTGTTTGCTGAAGAGTGATTCTCATCATTGCCCTTTCTAATCCCAAGAAGCAAGGATGGAGAAGATGGGATTCGCCTCAAGGCTCTGGCACTCTCTGACCTGGCAAGCTTTTTTTCCTTTCTATTGCATTCCGTTCGTTCCATACCGTCAAAACTTTTATTGCCATTTTCTTCACTTATGCAAACTTCTTCTCCTGTGTAAATTTTATTTTCTGTGTGAATAAAATTTGTACCATCTTTCTCTGTCCAATCATTCTTGTCTTGAGGAACTGGCACCTGCTTCTCTTTATTTTCATTTCTTGAAGCTGTTGGGGTTTTTGGCTCTTGTTGTGGGTACTTCTGGTTTATTTGTCTGATTATTTCCTCAGTCCCACTAGTTTCATTTCCATGAGTTTCTTCTAATGGATCCATGTCTTGACTATTTTCTAAAAGAATTTGAAGCCACTTCTCCACATTCCCTTTGCCACGTTCCTGCCTGATATGTTCATCTTCCTCAATTTCTGTTCCTTGAAAAACTGGAAATGAACTCTCACAACTTTCCTTACCTACCTTGATATTTAGCTTTTGAAGTTTTCGCTCAATTGGGCTTTCCTCCTTCAAGGCAACACTTGATCCCTTATGCTCCTCAAGGTTCTCTTCTGCGATGTAATGAGTTGGTATTTTCAGTTCCTGATTCTTTTCCTCTTGATTTTTTTCTTCATTTGCAGATAAACCAGCTTCTGATGCTCTTTGTTCCTCCTCCAAATATACTCTAAGCTCCTTGTGCAAAGGAGTTCTTGGCCTGATTGCGGGCAAGCAAAGGAGAGGTTTACTGTCTCTCTCTTCATCAAAGGTGGAATCACCATCTATTCTTATTCTCTTCCTTCCTTGATCCCATTCAGGCCTTATCTGCTTCTCTATTTCATCTCTCTGTTTATACCTGCGGTGGAGTTCTTTCTCTGCATTATCACAAATTGCCTTCTGAGCTTCCAGTCTAGCCATGAGTGCATTAGTAGCAGCCTGGTTCAATCTAACCTGTTCCTTATAGATGACACTCCTGCAACAACAATTTTCAGAAGGTAATATTTAAACACTAGCAAATTTAAGTATCAACCAGATTCTCATAAATAGTTTCATATAATTTTGAATGAATCTTCACATGTATGTTCCTTTAGGGCTAAAACATGAGTGATAAGGATTAAACTTCTGACAACTTGATTGTTGAAAACTTTGATGCAAAAGTTTAAATAAGAAAACAAATTCTCATGGATAAACTTATTGAGGAAAGATACAATGTGTTCCCTTGAAAATATACCATTTATGAGTCATTGGTGTATTTATATAAGATCCCTGAAAGTTTAAAACTAGTTATATGTGTTATACGTGTGCACTAAGTTAATTGTCAAAATATACTAATTAAACAGTTTCGGTTTCATAGAGTGATTAATCTGACTATCTTTCAAGAGATTAATTCTCAAGAGTTAATTCCAAATAATTTGCATTTTCTCTAAGATATAATCTCTAAAGAAATAATTTAATCTTACTGGTGCATGGTGTCCCTGATCATCTTCTCTAGCGTGGTTCTATAAGAAGATTGAGCCTCAGATAACCGCCTGCATTTTTCTGCCTTTCTCCTGGCTTTTATGAGTGCCAATTCCAGGTCTTGAATTATGAGCTTCTCCTCCTCATTTGTGAGTCTCATCTCATTCACTTCGTCATCAAGCTTCTGAATTTCAGCCTGCATTCTTGTAGCTTCTTCTCTTTGCTTTAAGGAATCTCTAGCCATCACAATGGCCTGATATGGGTTCTTTGCAAAATCTGGATCTTCATTTTCTTTTAGGAGTTTACCCTTGCCTTTTCTTGCAGCAACTGATTATAGAATATCAAACAAATGCAAACAGAGAATGTTCAGCAAATCCTGAATTATGCCCTCCAATTGCGTAATTATGATCATTTTCAATGATTTGAGCTTATTATTATTTTAATTAAGTTAACTGATTGTTTCTATAAATGGCTCTCTTACGTCCAACTAGCATGTTCATCCAGTGAAATATAAAACAGTAGCTTCAGCAGCACAAGAAACTAGTCGTTGTGGATGCAGTTAATTTAAGACTTGCGCTTTAGGAAGCGGATTCTTTAGGGAATCTACATTGTAATAATTAATCTACAACTTGAACTATTGGAAGCATGTGGAGATACAGTACCATTATATCAAAGAGAAGGTATTCTGAGGAGAAATAAAGATCCATCAAATCAAGACCAAAGATCAAATATAAGATTTACTCATTAAATCACTGGGTAGAGCCAAGTTCAACGAATTGAAGAAACAATTCAAAATGAAAGAATGGTCGTTGAGGAGAGAGTATTAAATATTAACCAACTCTCTCAAGAACCTTCTCTTTAGATTCTACTCACTTTGAGCAAATATTTTCTTTCTTTGTTAGGTATTTCTTCCTATCGCCCCAAAGCTACTTGATGGTGATGACACTGAGATATATCTAGAATAAGGTAGCCTCCTAGGGAAACTATTTGGAAACGGAATGAAATTGGGTGCGGAGCAATGAGGAAAAGATGTATATAAGTGATAGCTTTCTCCTTCTCCTTAGATTCTTCTCACTCTTTTAGCAGATGAATTTATCATAACAATCTCTCCCTCAAGTGTGAGTCTGTGGTTGATCTTATATACAAGCTACCCTATACTGAAAATCCCATAAACAACAATTCCCTGCTGAAGTTAAATCAGGTCCAACCCAATCTTTGGACTTCAAAAAGTGTGCAATTCTATTCAATGTGTGACTTCCCACATCAAGCCAAGTCTGCTCACAATTGATACATACTAACAGAAACCAAATTGGTGTTGGGTTTGGGCTTCTTTCCTACGTAGAGAAAGGCTCAATTATTTGAAGCTCATTTGTGTCTCACTTAGAGAGGTTAGATTAGGGTAAGAGTAAGAGGTCTTATTGGGCAACCATTTGAGAGAGAAGAAGATAGAAAGTCATTTTTTACATCTTCATAGGGAAGTCTCAATAAATCAAAGTTCGTGTGCTTGGTAACCGCTAGATTGAGCTGAAATTTTATCAACGGGTTTGGGATATCTAATGCATCATTTTCAATGGTTGGATCGTCGATTTGTCTTAGTGTGAGAGATATTCTGTTCGCCCTACAACCTTTCTTGTGGTTGTTTGTCTGGTTATTTGCACTTTTTAGGACAGTAAGATTCTTTTATACCCTATTTTGATCACAGTGGGGCTGGGTTTTCATTGGTATGGATGACCTGTAGTTTTTACCATCGCTTTAAGGGGTTTTCCATATTAATAATTTTGGTGTCTTTTGTGCTACTTAATTTCTTCCATATATTATCACTCCTTAAATATTCTTGCAAGCGATGAGAGTTTATTTTCGCTGTGTATAAGTCATTGGCTTGAGTTGTGTCTTTTTCTCATTATAGTAGTACCAGACCTAGGTTATCTAGTTATTAAATTGTTTGACTTACTTGAATGATGGAAATATATAAATGACATTATTATCATTTATGGAAGGGCAAGATGAAGGATTTGCTTTTTATTAAGAATATGCATCTTCTTGTATTTGCTACTGAAAAGTCAAATTCTAAATTTGATGTGGATTGGGATTTTGAGCATTAGCATGTGTGATTTTATTCGGCAATGTATAGCAGATAATGTTTATAACCACATTGTTGATGAGACACATACAAGAACCTTATGGAAGAAGATTGAGTCCTTGTATGCAGGAAATAATAAATTGTATTTGTTGAGATGTCTAATGAATTTGAAGTACAAGGATGAGACTTCTATTTTGGATCACTTGGAAGAATTTCGAGGGCTCCTAGATTAATTGTCAGGAATGTGTATCAAGTTTGAAGACGAGGTGTTGGGACAATGGCTTCTAAATACTCTACCTAAGTTTGTTACACCAAGAAAGGAGTTCTCCACATCTTACGCATCCAGTTACTTTGAGGTGTTAAAGATGCATAATTGTGGCTTATCGAATATGCTTGGAGTTGGTCATGTTTGTTTTTAAACAAACATGTGGAGAACATGTTCCAAATGCTTGTTTTAATTTGACCTCTGTTATGTGCGCGTGTTGATGATGACAATTTTGATAACCACTTTGGCTTTGGGATGGGTAGAGGAGAAATTTTTTCTAAACTGTATATGACAAAAGCTAGACAATGTAAATGCCATAGAGATAGAGGCATCAAATTTGTGATATCGAAGGCTTGATCATATAAGTGAAAAATGGTTAAATTACTTGGCCAAAATGGATGTACTTCTTGGATTGATGAGTGCATAATTGGAAAATCATTCTGACCGCACGGATGGCAAGCAAATTAAAGTATCTTTCAAGAAGCATCCTCCTTTAAGAAAGTCAGAGTTGCTTGAATTGGTGCATTTTGGCATTTGTGAAAAGTTTGAACATTCGTTAACCACTAGATCAGGCTGAAATTTTGTTAACAGGTTTGTGGCATCTAATGCGTCATTTTCAATGGTTAGATTGTCCGCTTGTTGTCTGATGCGAGAGATATTTTGTTCACCCTACAACCTTTCTTTTGAGGGTTTTTTTAGCTTCTTCATTCTCTATTATAAGGTTTTTGCTTTGGTTATCTGACTAGTTATTGCACTTGTTTTTGCATTTGGTTGAGACTCTCTTGTACCCTATTTTGATAATAGTGGAGCTAATTTTTATTGGATTGGACAAATCGTAGGCTTTTCTTTTTGTATTGAGGGGTTTTCCATGCTAATAATTTTGGTGAATCCCTTGCTATTGAATAATTTTTTCCATATATTTGTTTAATTGCTCCCTATATTTTCTTGCAAGTGATGAGAATTTATTTTCGCTGTGTACAAGTCATTAGCTTGAGTAGTTTGTTTATCTAATCACTTGGGGGAGCTATATATGTACACGTGATGGTTGGGTTTAGAAGATGCATGTGAGTGTAAGAGTTAGAGTGGAGAGCAGGCAACGAAACAAGAGAGTACGAAGAGAGTTGAGTGTCAAGAGGTTGATGTACGAGTGAGTGAAAAGACAAAAGTGAGTGAAATATAAAGCAAATCATAGTTTGAATGTGGGATGAAAATTTACTTTTAAGTCCTTATCTTTTTTTTTTTTTTTTTTTTTTTTTTTTTTTTAAGTTTTCTCATAAGTCCGTATCTTTCTTCACAATGAAGAGTTAAGTGTCAAGAGTTAATGTGTAGGTGAGTGAAAAGACAAAAATTAGTGAAGTGTAAATCAAATCATAGTCTGAATGTGCGATAAAATTTCCTTTTAAGTCCCTATCTTTCTATTAAGTTTCATTACTTAGGAGAATATAAAGAGAGTTAAGTGTCAAGATAAACTCCGCCTATGTTGTATAGCCGGTCCCAAGCCCGGATAAAGGAGGAGGGTTGTGTTAGGCCCTCGACAGCCAACGTAAAAACCCGTCGAATCTCATGAACATGGATCAACGAAGTAATTATGCTAATGCTAGGTCGTTGCCCAGATGTGACGCGCTGTATGGCTCGAGTACAGTGAGAAATGAGCTAGAGCCGCTGCATCGTCGCCCGGATGTAGTGTTAAATGAGCAAGGGCTACCGCACTCTCTTGGACGGAGGCGGCTAAAGAAGTTAGTTCATGAGACTGAGATTAGATTTGGCACTTGGAATATTGGGACGTTAAATGAGAAATCTATGGAAGTAGCAGGAGTTATGAGGGACAGAAGGATTAATATCTTATGCCTCCAAGAAACCAAATGGACTGGAGAAGCTGCCAAGGAACTTGGAGAGTATAAACTTTGGTACACAGGAAAGGTGAGCACAAGGAATGGGGTTGGTATCATCGCTGATGGGACATGGAAAAAAAACGTAGTAGAGGTTAAAAGGTTTGAGGACAGAATAATATCGTTAAGAGTAATTGTTGGAAAGGATACTATCAATATCATTAGTGCCTATGCACCTCAGGTTGGAGCAGAGACACACCTTAAAGATAAGTTTTGGGAAGATATGGAGGCCATACACTTGTGCAATAGTGTAGAGAACCAGGAAAAGTATCAGTTGGCTAAAAAAGAGACAAAGAGAGCAGTGAGCGAAGCACGTACTAAAGCTTATGAAGGGTTTTATCAGGAGTTAGGAACAAAGACGGGAGAAAGAAATATTTACAAGATCGCGAAGCAAAGGGAGAGAAAAAGAGAGATCTGGATCAAGTTAAGTGTATAAAGGATGAAGATGGTAAAGTGTTAGTTACTGATGGTGATATTAAGGACAGATGGGAGGCTTACTTTTACAAGTTGTTTAATGAGGGAAGCAATTATGCGACTCAGGACTTGCAGGATTTGCTAATTAACGAAGATGATCGGAATTTGGCTTTCTACCGCAGGATACGTATCGGAGAGGTTAAGGCGGCTCTCAAGAAAATGGACAATGGAAAAGCCGTTGGGCCTGATGGTATCCCTATTGAAGTTTGGAAATGTTTGGGCGATGAGGGGGAGGTATGGCTAACCAAGCTTTTTAATGAAATTCTACGCTCTAAAAATATGCCGGATGAGTGGAGGAAAAGCATTTTAGTTCCTATTTACAAGAATAAAGGAGACATTCAAAACTGTGCAAGCTACAGGGGGATAAAACTTATAAGTCATACAATGAAGTTGTGGGAAAAAGTGATGGAATATAGATTGAGGTTGGAGACTTCTATTTCGGAAAACCAATTTGGATTTATGCCAGGGAGATCCACATCGGAAGCAATCTATTTACTAAAGGGGGTTAATGGAGAGATATAGAAGTAAAAGAAGAGATTTACATATGGTTTTTATTGACCTGGAAAAGGCTTATGATCGTGTGCCAAGAGAAGTATTGTGGAAGGCTTTGGAAAAGAAAGGTGTACGGGTTGCGTATATCAAAGTCATACAAGATATGTATGAGGCGGTAACTACCAGTGTAAGGACGCCTGGGGGGGAGACAAAGGACTTTCCTATTAAGATTGGCCTACATCAGGGATCCTCTCTGAGTCCGTACTTGTTCAACGTTGTTCTGGATGTTCTAACTAAACCTGTTCAAGAAAGAATCCCTAAGTCCATGCTCTTCGCGGATGATATAGTTCTTATGGCGGAATCAAAAGAAGAGATTAACACTAGTTTGGAGTTATGGAGAAGGACTTTGGAGTCGAAAGGTTTCCGTTTGAGCAGGAACAAAACAGAATATATGCATTGTGATTTTGGAGGGAGGCAAGGTAATAGGGATTTGGAGGTGAGGATGGGAGAACAAATTATTCATCAAGTATCAAAGTTTAAATACCTAGGATCCATTATACAGGAGGATGGGGAAATTGACGGAGACATTTCTCATAGAATACAAGCTGGCTGGTTAAAGTGGAGGAAAGCTACCGGAGTTATTTGCGATAAGAAGGTACCTGAGAAACTTAAAGGAAAATTTTATCGGACTGCTATAAGACCAGCTATGATGTATGGTAGTGAATGTTGGGCAATAAAAGGAAAACAAGAGCACAAAGTCGGAGTAGCAGAAATGAGGATGTTGAGATGGATGTGTGGTCATACAAGAAAAGATAGGATTCGAAATGAAAAGATTAGGACAAGAGTCGGTGTGGCACCTATCCAAAAGAAAATGGTTGAAAATCGCTTAAGATGGTTTGGACATGTGCAGAGAAGGCCTTTGGAGGCCCCGGTGAGGAGGGTGAATCAAACAAGATGGAGTCCCATAAAAAGAGGCAGGGGAAGACCGAGAAGAACGCTGAATGAGGTCATTGAACGAGACCTCCTAATCAACAACATATCTAAGGATTGGGTTGTTGACAGAGCACGATGGCGTCGTGTGATTCATGTAGCCGACCCCACCTAGTGGGATAAGGCTTGTTGTTTGTTTGTTTGTTTGTTAAGTGTCAAGATAAATTGTGTTGGCTCTGGTACCACTCCAAGATGTTAGCTAAACAAACCAAGCCAACATAGTCTGATATCCAAAACTTTAGTCCAAATAAGACTACTCATTCTCAACTCATCAACGGGTCACGTCAGGACTTTCATCTTTGAATACTAGATGTGCAAGTGAGTAAAGTATAAATTAAATCATAGTTTGAATGTGATAGCTTAACAAAGCGGATTATATGGTCACCAATTTAAAGATCCATAATATAATCATGCACTAACCTATTGCAGGAGACATGGGCCTCGGCTTCCGGTTATAATCCAGTTGCTTCAAAGCTAATTTATCAAAAGATTCCCTTCGGCATTCCACGATAGCAGCGGGAGCAAGCCCAATTTCTTCTTTCAATCCAATGAAATGCTGAGGAAAAGAATGAGAATCCACTATTTGAGAGGCATTCAGTTCTTCATTTTCTCCATCAGAGAATAGATATGAGAAGGCCCTGTGCCTGTGGTAATTTGCAAAAATAGAAATTTTGTCACCTACTCCATTTAATGTCCTGATTTTATTTATAACTGGACTAGAAAGCTGATTTGTCTTGTTGGTTATTATAGTTTTATAGTAAAATATGTCTAGAGTCTAAAAAAGAATTTGTGTCCTATGATCTTAGTGATGGTTAAATTTTTTTACTGTGCCATTAAGTTATACTGGCTTGGTTAATTATCCATCTTTCCAACAGTTCGAATATGCATAGTTCATACTATCAAACTCACATCACACTCACGAGTGATTTTCACTGAATCATGTACTTTTATCTATTTTGTTGGTAGGAATAACGCTTGGAATGCCGAAATTGGTACATGATCATGTTAATAATATTTAGGAGCAAACTAATGAATTAAAGCATAAAGAACTAATGACTGAGTACTAGAATACTCAAAGCTAAACGACAAGGAATAGATTTAAAATCTTAATACTATATGAATCTAATTTAAGCATATTATAACAGGGACGGATAATTAAAAAAAGGAAGAAGAAGAAGAAAGAGTGAAGGAAGTACCTACCTGAAGTCTGAGTTTGAAGAAGCAAAAATGGAGAGGAATTGATTTACAGAGAGACCCAATTGGAAATCCCACCATGGAACTAGGAATTCCAGCTTATTCTTCCTCTTCTTGCAGGCTTGCCGTTGCAATATCCTCAGATTGCTCAGAACAGTCAATCCTCCTCCTGCATATTCGTTTAACCCAGCAAGGCAAAATTAAGCTATTACACCTTTTACACATTCTCAGAGGGGTTGAGCAGGGCGGGGAAGAGAGAGATTACTTGAACAAGGAAACCAGTGATCGATTTCCCAAGCAAGAGGAGAGGCTGAATCAGCATGATAATACAGGACATTGCCATAAGGATCTACTCGAATTACAGCAGGATCAAACCCGGCATTCCTGAGATTTTCGCAGATTCAAAAACTTCCAGTGTCACCCAATTGAAACCTTAAATTCCCTTTCGTGCTCAGGTGAAAACTAAGTTAAAGATCTTACCCCAAATGGTTTAGCTGCTTCCACAGGAGACTGACAAAAATCTTTGGCTTCGCGGTTGGCTTCGCTTTCGGATCGATTATTGGGAACATCATATCTAAATCCCTCGCCCTCGCAGCCTAATTATTATCTCAAAGAGCAAAATCAAATCACAATCATGCAGAATATACATATATATATATCTTTGACGCTGATCCACAAATGAAATCAATTTTCTTACCTCGTCTTCCTCCAGAGCGTATGGCGTGAAGATGAACGGAGGGCCATGGCTGTATGGACTAAGACAGCGATCGTGGCAGAGCTTCGCGTAGGCTTTTGGATAACCAAGGTTCTCGTTGACGGCCATTTCCTCCGGCGTGAACCCGTAATCGTCGGCCATCGTCTTGAAGGTACTTGTTGGTCTGTACCGAAGTTGTGATGGAGACGCACAGAGTGAAGCGGAGGAGAGCGTGTTTTGTTGATGAAGAACTAACGGTCGAATTGAACTAATTTGAAAGGCTTCCTTCAAAGTAACCAAAATATTCAAAGCGAGAGATGGGAGTGTCTTGCTCAAGCCGCGTAACGGCTATATGAGATGGTGGATATGTGACCGACCCCACAGGGCCCACGCTAATTAAAAAATAATAATAATAAATACGGTGATAAAGTTTGTTGTGTGACTATGAGATACCCAGATCAAATTTTGCACTAACTTTGCTTTTTCAACAATTTCAAAAATGTCTTCGACCCAAAAAAGATACTCGTCCCCTGCTTAATATAAAAAATAATTAGAGTTAATATTAATCATATATATAAGATTCATTTCATATGTTTATTAATTTTTTTAAATTAATCTTATTGATATTTTCTTAACAATAATTAAGTAGAAGAGAAATAAAGAAAATTAAAGAAAACATTTAACATGTTTTAGTACAAATACATCATATTAATTAATTTAATTAACATCTTTAATCTATTTAAATTATTTATGTAAATCTTATATTAAGGATCAGATGAGTATTTAAATATTTAATCTGATTAAAAAATATTTAAAGATGCTTTTTTTTTGTGTATTGTCTAGAAATTTAGTTAGTATTTGATTTAATTCGGAAATAATAATTTTTTAACCAACGAAATAATGATATTACTTTCATAGGATTGGAAGCGTTAAAGTATTAGAGGCATTGAATTATTTAATTTAAAAAGTTACCTATCAATTGAACAATCAACTGGGGGCGTTCAAATTGGTTCAAACAGCAACTAAATTGACAATAAGAAAAGGTAAAGAAAAATAACTATGATTAAAGAAAGTTAAAGTGTCGGGTATTAGGTAGATAATGTCACGTTTAAATTTTTTTTCAAAAAGGGAACTCAGGAAATGATGGGAGCCAAATTATGAAGCAAAATTTTAGGGTCAGAGCCATTAAAAGGAACTAAAAAGTTCCTTTTAGTTCAAAGTACACCTAAAAAAGGAAATCCAAATTTGTGAGGCTTGTGTCCCCATGGCAATAGATATTGCACATTCTCCAAAATTTGGATGTTGCTGAGATTAGATTGGGGGGAGCTTTTTCGTGGGCGGTGTAAAGCTATATGGCATATATTCTTCATGTCTTTGGTCAATTTTTTCTTTATCTAATTTGAATTCTTCATGTTTGTGGGCCACCAACAAAAAAAATCAACCTGAGTTACTCTTTCGGTTCTTAATATAAGATATATTTAACTAATTTGATTAGATTAAGAAAATTAGGTAAGTTAGTTAATTATAAGAAATATGACATGTTTTTTCTAAAACACTATAACCATATTTCTTAATATCCTTCTTTTCTCATTTACTTGATTATGGCTGAAAAACTATCCATAAGGCTAATTTTAAAAAAATTGATAAATATGATAAATAGATTTTATATTTAAGATTAAAATTAACTTTTATATTAAGGAGCATATGAGTTTTTTTTTTTGGGTTCTTGCTAATTTCAGTGATTAATTGATTATGCCCTCCTCCCAAAAAGAATAAAAAGGAAAAGAAAATGGGTGATGAAGAAGCAGCCTCAATGATATCTCTATATAATGCTATTTCTGGTGAGTCTATAGACACAGAATATTATCTCGTCTCAACATTTGTGGATACGAACTCGAATGGGCCTCATTCATTTTTTTGGGTACAATTGTTTATTTAATCTTTTTTTTTATCAGCCAATTGTTTGTATAATGTAAATCTAAAATTTTGATAGGAGGGAAACTTGGCCCAATACCAAATCATCCCATGAGTTGACCTATTTAAATATAAACCAAAAGGAGAACCACAATTGTATCCAAAAAAAAAAGAACTATAATAAGATCCTAAGGAGAAAATATACTGATACAAAAGTCTCAAAACAACTGAGTAGTTTATAATGACAAACTCTAGAATAAGAAATGATAATAGGTTTCCTAGTCATAATTTTAATTTTTTTGTAAAATATTTGTTATTTATCATGGGAAATTTTCTTAAGAGTTGATTTATTTTGCTCTCTGTAAGTGAAAACTGTATTTTTCTCAAAGAAATCATTTAATCTTTAATATTATTTATTTTATTCCAGAATATATGATATTATAAATTAAATTAGAGTAACCAGAAAATAAAAAGTAAAGATTTGTTGGCATAATTTTCTATTCAAAAAATCGAATATGAAATCTTAGTTAAGGGCCAATAACAATTTTTTTAACCCATCAAGATAACCCTTAGTAATTAGCTGGAAAGGGATAAGGAGTGGTTTTAATTAATGAAAGAAGCGCTTTTTTAATTATTATTTAAGATAAGTAGTTAAATATTTTTTTCCAGCACTTACCCAAATGGGGTATATATAGGGAACACTTTAATTTAAATTAAGTACTCCTCAATTAAATTACCATTTTATTTATTGTCATCGTTTTCTAATCATCATACATGCATATGGACCAGCAGATCAGAGAAAGCATATAATACACACATATATAAATATATATATTTATATATATTCGTGTGTGTGTTCATGTTCCTAGCTACGTATGTTATATTATATAGCTTTCAGTCATTTTCTGCCGTTTTCTTCTTCTAGAAGATAAACTAATTTCAGCCTTTTCTTATCAGCTTGATGAAAAGATCTTGAAATTCATGTGATTTTCTGGGTAGCCAATCAAACATGTGCCACCGGTTTCTGTATTACTTCAATTTTCAATTTTCACACGTAATGGTGTTCCTTTGCATTCAATTCGATTACCATCTTTTTTTTTTTTTGTCCTCAATTACTTTCTTAATTTTTCTGGCCCTTTGAATCTGAATAAAATAGCTTCTAGAATCGTGTGTGTGTGTGTGTGTGTGTGTGTGAAGATTTAGGTACACATATACACTAAGCACCTAATTAATGTATGACTCGATGTGTCTAAACCAGATCACATGTACATACCTGTGCCTGTTCATAATAGTATCTAAATCTTATCAAAAAGTTTATATTATTATTATTATTATTAAATATTCGATTTTCTTTTTGAATAAGTTAGTGATCGAATCTTGTGGGGAAGAAATTGTGAATTACCGCTTTAATTGGATTTAACAGTATACATCCAATTAAATTTGGTAGCATGGCGCATCGAATAAGCATAACAAAATAATTATATATAAAAAAAAAAGTAGAGAGACGTCCAGCAAGTTAATTATATCCTCTAGTTCTATTTATAAGAACTTATCAATAATTTTATTAAATTTAAAAAATTAATTAAAATTAGTTGTTTTTATGAAATATCAAAATTGTCCTCCCGAAAAGTCATTAGTTAGAAGGGCTTGTTTAATTAGTTAAAATATTTATACTACTTCCAGTTAGGGGTGTTCAAGGTCGGCCCGTCCCGGTCGGCCTGTTCCGGTCCCGGTCTTATTGGGACGGGACGGATCCGTCCCGAAATTTTTCAGGACGGGACAAAAAAGGGACCGGGACGGGACGGGACACGGGATGGGGTCGTCCCGTCCCGGTCCCGTCCCGGTTCCTTTTTCTTAAAAAAAAAATTAATTTTTTTAATTTTTTATATAATATCATTTTTTTCATATTTTTTTTAAGATTTGAGACTATTGTATGGAATTATGGATATATTTATTTAGAGTTTTTATTTTGTTAATGATTTGAGATTATTGATGATTAGAATTTTTAGCAAGTTTTTATGTGTTAAAAGCTTTTGTTTAGAGTTTTTAATAACTATTATATGTAATATTTTGAGCTTTTGTTAAGAGTGCCCAAACAAATAAAAAAGATGTTTTTATAAGATTTAAGCTCAAAAAAATATAATTAAAAAAATCAGATTTTTTTTTAAAAAATAAAAATTAAAAAAAATTAAAAAATAATAATTTCGGGACGTCCCGGTCCCGTCCCGGATCCGTCCCGTCCCGACCGGGACCGGGACAACCTTGAGACGGGTCGAGACACGGGACAAAAAATCTGTCCCGTTACTATTCACCGGGACGAACCGGGACGGGCCTGTCCCGGTCCCGATCCGTCCCGTGAACACCCCTACTTCCAGTCCTATTATAAAACCTAATTTGTAGACTACAAACGGGATTTTATAAATAGGACCAGAGATAATAATTGGTAAATAGCCGAGTCACTTAAATATAAAGTTTTGAGTTTAAACCAAGTCATGTATATTAAAAAGAGTTTGTTAAAAGAGGCAAAACCACTTCAGTGACTTTTAGGGATATTAAATGAAAAATTATTACTTTAGACAAAACGTGATGTGGGAATTCCTTTTATTTTTTTAAATATCAAATATATTTATAAATATAAAAAGTTAGTACTCTTCTGGTCCTTAATATAGGATCCAATTATTGAGTTGTTTTGGTTCTAAATATAAGACCAATTTCTCATATTTATTAATTTTCTCTAAATTACCTCTATGGATACTCCTCGACCATAATTAAGTAGAAAAGGAAGAAGGGATATTAAAAAAATGATTATGATATTTTAGAAAAAACGTGTCATATTTTTTATGATTAACTAATTTACCTAACTTTCTTAATCTAATCAAATTAGTTAAATAGGTCTTATATTAAGGATCGGAGGAGTACAACGTAACATGACCCCAAAAGTATAATAAACAAAAGATAATAGCACACCAGACACAAATTTATACGTGGGTTCATAGAATCATAGGACTCAACGATACGGACATAGCAACTACCTTTTGTGTGGTATATGCAAAAAATATTTTCAAAAAATATTTTCACACAAGTCAAAACAAAACTCTTCTCACGTATTTATCTTATATACTGTAAAATTATGGTTTTATTTCTATCTAAAGACTCTTTTCAACCATGTCAGTCAAATTAAAAAACCTGTTAGGAACTAATATATGGAGTATTTTGTGTTTATTCTTTTTTTCCCCCCCTATGAACGG